AATTTTAGCCGCGGCCCCATTGTCCCGACGTAAAGATTTCAATAGGTAAGCGCTCAAAGCGGAGAGCAAAGGCACCACGTCCGTTACAAATAGGTAGTTTTGTTTCTCTTGTTGTCGCTACACGGAGTCAAACAAAGCCCCGTCTAAGTTTCCTTCCACCCTCTTGTTGGGATCTTTGTGGCCAAAATGCACTTGACTACAAAGGGGGGGGGGCCCTGATGCCATTTCTTTTTTTTATAAAGGGCTTAAACCATCAGGGTTACTTATTTTCTTTCTTCTGTAACACCCTCTCCGCCCCCTCCTCCTCTGGTCTCCCCTTACCCTAAGAAAATGGGCTGAATGGTGTTCCCCGGCCACGTTCCATTTATTATCTTCACCAACGGCATTGTGTGGCCCGGTCCCAACCTTCTTCCCACAATCACGCCCCCCTCACCCCAACTCCTCTGATCCTGCCCTCCCAGGCCTGCCCTTGATTGTCACGTTCAACCTGAGGACCTGAAAAAGTTGTGGAAAAGAATCCTTCAGACTTTTAGTCATCAGCGATCGCCACGCAACCTTCCCTGCCCCTCGCAGATTTTCCCTGTGCTCTTAGGTTATGGTCTGCTTCAGGATTTGCGAACCCGGGGAGAGTGAGACTCATGTTCTAGAAACATGCAAATATTCAATACTTTTCGAAACAAAGGCACTGTTTCCTGTTTCATCGGGGTGTTAAATTAAGCTAAACATGGATCTCTGGAGATTAGGAAAGAGAATAGGTGGAGGAGAGGCTGAGAAGAGAAGGCCACCGACTTTTCAGTGCGGCTGGCTTCACGGATGTGGCTGGTGCGCCCCCTGCTGGTGGATTTGCTTTTCCAACATTAACGATTTTACCTTTAAAAGAAGGTGTTTGGAAATAAAGTAAAAAGAAAGGGTAGGGGGATGGAAGATCGGGCTAATTACACATAATCTAAACAAAAGAAAAGTTAACATAACGTATAAGCTGTGGAACCAAATCATAAGAATCATATTTAATTTGCTTAACTTAAAAATGTACATAAAACGTCGAGATAAGTGGGAGGTTAAAGCACGAGGAAAATAGGTACAAATTATGAGATTCAACATATGAATGAATTATGATTGTCCAGGCGCCACGAAGGGCAAGCCAAGCATTCACTTTATGATTGGGTAGGCACTGGTCTGCGCTTAATAGCATTATTCCAAAATTTAAAAAGGAAGCTTATGGATAATTAAGTTTGAAGATAAAAAGGGGGGAGTTGATGTAGATAATGGCAGTGTCTTTATTAAAGTAAATATTAATAATAGATGGCTATAGGAGGAAATCTTTTTGTGTTTCTATCTGTCAAGGGGCAGGAGTAAGAGACAAATTTTTCCTTGGGATGATATGTAAAAGCATTTATGTGCTCTCAACTGCTAGTGCCTGTGCCTGAGCTCTCTAATAACGCATTTAAGAGGTTAAAGGGGTTGGCTAGGTCTTTTGTTAATTGCTTTTATCATATAAATAAGCTATGGAAATACATTACAATTGTGTTATCATTGGTTGCATTTATTTACAGCTTTATTTTAATTAAGCCTGCTGTACTTATCGAAGCAATAAACTAACTGTAGCTGGCATTTATGCATAATAATGTGCTATGAAAATAAGATTAAAGAAGATGGTGATAGCAGGAACAATTTTCTCATTAGACTTTTAAAGAATATATGCATTTTTTAAAGATCAGATCACTGGCCACTCAATCTCAGTACAGCAGTGTCACTCTCCCTAAATATAATAATAATAACGATACCAATCCCAATAGATGACATAAGCAACCCTGTTTCAGGCTTATAATAGATGGCTACAGTAGCAGCAACAATACACCATTGACTAACAATAAAAAAAGAGAAAAGACTTGGAGCAGGGTGCTTCATCCTCAGAGAATTTAAAAATGTTGCTGTGGGTACAATTTGTAAAAATTGAAAGTGCTTAAATTGAAGAGAATGTAACACTTCCTTCCTTGGACAGCAAAAAGCAATGCACTTTTAGAACAGCAGTAGTAATTAGAAATAAAGCCTAACTCCTGCAGTATTCGGGTTGATTTTTCTCTTTTCTGTTGGCCCTAGCCAAAAAGCCTTAAGTGCTAACCCAAATTTTATTTAAAAATCTTTTACATTAATTTTGCTCTCCTTAGCACTCCTCAAGTATTATATCTGCAGCCAACTAACAATTTTGTGGAGATAGGAGACGGTAGACTTATTTTTTTCTTCTTAGTGGCAAATAGAGGTTTAACTTGCAGTAATTAGGTGAGAACTAGCCAAGCATCTTACTATTATGATGCTTGTTAAAAAACGCTTCTTTTCTGTATGTGCATTTGAGTGCGCGCCCCTCCTCTCTTAATCTTCTTATGGAAATGAAGGCAAACGGCAGGGAACCTGCGGAGTCTTCGAGAATGTCCTTGTTAACTGGAATTTCTCAGCATTGCTAATTAGCTGAGTTTGACGACCACCAGTACTGGGGGAAGCTCTGTTTAACCACTCACAAACCATCCTGAGGAAGAGCAGACTAATTTTATTTTGTAATTAAAATCTGAAAAGGGCCCTATTTGACAGTTAGGGCTATGAGAGTTTTATCTCCCCGTGAAATAATTACTGCCTTGATAACTCAATTTTCTGAAAAATGTCAACTGTGGGCTCCAAAAGTTTTAATTTCATTACGTAAGGAAAAAAGCGAGAAAAATAGAAGAAAATGTACAGAAAGGCTTTCTAATTCGAGAGCCGGTTAAATATATTAAGAGCCACATTTGGCCAAATGAAGGGTTTTCTTTGCTTCTTTTTTTGCTGTTTTCTCCTGACTCTGATCCTTCAGCCATCTGAAAGTGATCCTAGATGGCAGTGATCACACTGCAGCGAAAGACAAGATGCAGTAGTCTGGGATGTTAAAGGTAAGAAATCTATAAAGAAAAATATGACAATTACGGAAAAGTTCTTGATTTGAAAAGCCAAAGCTAAGGGCGAATTCAGATGTCCAGGACAAAGCTGGCATAATTTAGTGGGTAAAAATGTCACTATTTCTGTCCTCTAAAACAAGAAAACTTGTTTAGAAGGTCAAGATACTGGCAGAAGCCGATTTTCTAAATATTGCTTTCTCTAAGTCAAAAAAAATCCTCACTCACTCCAAGCTGGAGCATGCTACAAGACACCAGAGCTCAGTCCTTCAGGACTAAAGAAAAACAAAAACAAAAAAGTAACACAGATATATGAAGATGAAACAAGGCATTTAGAGGGTTTCTTTTTCCTAAAAAAAATCACACACTTTCCAAAAATAACCAGCAAGGAGTACATTGGAAAAAGTGAGGCAATGAAAGGTAAGAAGCCAAAATGAGATAATGAATCTTACCACTGTCAAACATTCTTTCCTTCACAATGTAAAGCTCTCTCCCCAGCCACCCTATAGGACGCACCTTAATTTTTATGACACAACTTTTTCTAATAGAAATTCTTTCGCCTATGTTTCCTCCTATTTTCTTCCTTAGCCAAACTTGTCAGGTTTTGGAAGTGTGAACGATTATTGATAAGGACTATAATAAATATTTCTAGATGACACAAAGAGCAGCATCTACTTCCACCCCTTTCTATTTACTGAGTCACAGATATGCATATGGCTGCATGGTAGATTGGCAATTTAAAATTGCTTAATCATATTTTTTTCTTCTTGTATGTCTCTTCAGCACCTTGCCTTTAATTTCCAGAAGTGGTATTACACATAACAAATGAACAAGGGGCTAACAAATGCTGTTTCAGTCTAGACCCAATTTCACCAAATAATTTCACTCAAGAGCTGTAAGGACCCTTGAAACCTAAGGAAT